ATAATACAATACACATTAGACTAGCAGATTCAGTTCACATCCTTTTGTGATTTTAATGAATCAACAGCAAATGAGTTGCCTAATACAGTGGCTGAAGTATTAGTATTTCTTTGTGAATCACTTCCCCCTGCCTTCAAAACCATGATTATCATCATCATTACTGTGGCAGCCCTAAACAGTAAATTCATCTTTCTATTCTTAAATCTGTACCTCCAGTGTACTGTTGCCTGGAGGTCTGGCTGTAAATGTCTTTTTTAGGATGGGAGACGCCAAGACACTTCATGTTGATTTATCACCCATCTGTATATCTGTATATGTTTTGTGTGTCAGCCTGATGACAACCTGAAAATGATTTAGGGTTATTTTTATAATTGCTTTTTTATTACTGTATATTTTCTGCTACATAGCAGAAAGTAGTCACAAACTAAATTTCACAATACAATTTATTTTGTATTGTGACAAAAAAACCTGTCTATTTTTCAGGCCTTTTCTGTTGTGGTCTAAAATGCCTGATTTTGCGGCAGCTTTTCTGAGAAATTGCAATGTTCTTGGGCATTTTTGCTATAAAATTGTGGGAATAAGTGAAATAATCACATCTACCATAATAATAATTATTATTATAGTTGAATCATTAAACAGTCCCTCTCGGACTTTTGCCGGCCTAAGCCTAACCCTGCATTTTTAAACCAGCTTACCTTGATTCTTTCAGCGCTTGCAGATGACCTGGATGCAACAGCCTGATGTCCTCCATGCATTTCTGCCGTTCTCAGCGTATGTTTTGCTGCGGCAAAGTGTTTGTCAATAGACAATTTCCTTTTATGGTCGACCACAATACTGCACGTTTTGCAAAACAGTTACCCCTGCTTTTATACAGAAGGTCTGTATCCTGTTCTGTCTTTGCTGTTATTTTTTTAGGCAAATGTGAGACGTTGGTATCACACGTCTGCTGCGTCTTCTAAAAGAAACAAGAAGTGAGTTTTCTGACTTATGACATTTTGCGGGAAACAGAGATGGCGATAGGTGAAATTTGCAGAAAAGTGGTTGGTCAAAATTGCAAGTTGCCCTGAATTCACATGTATTTATTAGGAGTCCAAGCCTGAAGTGGGCTGGGAACCCATGAATGCAAGGCATCACGGTGCCCAGTACCAGTGAAGCGGCTGGGAACCCTATTGTTTTCGCTCAGATTTTTATTTATTTTTCAATTCTTCCGTGCATAAAACTGATACTGCGGCCTACACCGTCACTGCTGGGGACGGCAAACTCACAAGGTATGTTCACAGCCCCAAGAGTACGTCAGGCGCAAAAATCCGCACACTTCTACCTTTAGGGGGCGCTAAAGGCAAGGTCAACGCGTTTGGGCTTGGAACTCCCGCCTACAAAGGCGTATATAAAAAAACCTTATATCCATGCGTTCGGGGGATCAACGTGAATCTTGTGGTATATACCACACCCATTTCCACCTAAACTTTTTTTTCGCTACATTGCGAAAACTGAAAAATCTATTTTAATTAACTCCTCCGAAGTCGTAAGTCCAATTGACACCAAACTTGGCACGGATAATCTCTGGACCAAGCTGATGAAAGTTTGTAGAGGAAATTTTGATCTGACAAAAAATGTCGCAATTATATGCTAGCAAACGTTTGCGAAAAACACTACTAACAGGAAATTATGTCATATCTTCGCTTTGGAATGGCCGATCGACACCAAATTTGGAGCATTATTGTGGGACGGCCCCTGAGGGCCTGTGCAAAATTTGGTGCAACTTGCCCCTAGGTGGTGCTATTTAATCCAAGAAAATAGTTCCTCTATAACCAAAAGTCACACTGACATGAAACCTGAGCCGAATTCTTCAGCATGGTCCCCTTACTACAGGCACCAATCTTCACCCAAATATGCCCATAGGTGGCCCTGTTATTGCAGATTAAAGACGTCAAAAAAATCCCATTGATTTACATGCATTTTATATCTCCATAACCACAAGTCCGATTGACACCAAATTTGATTCAATTGTTCCCCATGGGGCCTTGATGACACCTGATTGCACTTCGGCCAAAAGGTTGCGCTATAATCGAAGCTCAAATACCTCATTCATTTCAATGGGATTTTCAACCAATGGACATTTTGCCGGATAACTACGGCTCACTACATTGCACATTCATCAACCTTACGTCTATGTGTTTGGGGGATGCTGCTGATTCCGATGGTATAGGACACGCCAAAAAACAGCCAAATTATAACCTAACACATTTTTGCGCAAACGCTAAACACAGGATGTCATGTCACATCTTACATTTCAAATGTCTGATCTACACCACGCCTGATTATATAATGTACGTCTATGTAAGTTATGTGAGCTTTGCAGAAAGATGTTTGGAGACTCCACATTGAAATCTTTGTATGTTGTCAGTTGAGATGGTCTGGTTGGCTGTAGATATTGTTTGTGTTTCATTTCTTGATGTTTCTGGACAATAAGGTGTGTCTGCAGCTTAGACCCATCTCCTGCTGTTGCTCTCTGTGTTCTAAGCCCTTTCTGCTCCAGTGCCAATAAATGTGCATGTGTTAAAAGATGGCTTCTGTTTTGTGGTGAGCCGGACTCATCCCGAGATGCTCTCCTGGGGGCGTAGGTTCACCCCTGCCTCCTCTCTTGCTCATTGCTGGGGTCATTTAGAGACGTAATCCACACATGGCTGGATACTCACTTCAGCTCCAAGGAAAAGATGGAGCTCCAGCATGGTAAAGGTAGATAGGATTAGGCTCATGGTGAATCGTAATGGGCTCATTTTACAAACCTCTTTTTTTACCAATTAAGCTGAACTTGAGTTGGACTTGTACGCACTCTGAAATCAGGACCCAGCCTTTGGATGGCAACATGCACGCCTGGCTGAGCCGATTTAATCCTGTGTTTTTTTTTTTTTTTTGGTCAATGTCAGCCAGAGGTTAACCTGGTTATAGAATGATTGTCTCACCATGGCTGCAGCCATCGTTATTTATTTCACTTCACTCCACAAGCCTGGAGATTGAGTTGAAGTACAGAGGCTGTATTTAGACTTTATATAAGAAGATTGGTAGTGGCCACTGTCAGCACTGTGTTCACCGATGGCCAGCCGGATCAATACAACACAATTGAGTTTTCCAATCTGTGGTCTTTGGGAACGCAGCCATGGCACTTACAGGATGATCGCCACTGATGAAGTCTTCATCAGGATCTATTGACAGATTCATTTGAGCACCCTCCTTCCACCCTTACTACACTGTAAAGTAATGGGACACAAAAACCCTCTTTAAAAAGTTTTCTGGCAGCTGATGGACAGATCAAACCAACAGAGCTGTCTCACTCTCTGAAGATAACACTGATTTTTATTTTATATATTTATCTTTCACGGGGAAAACTGTTTATTTTTTGTGCAGCTGTTGCTAAATTTACACTCCGTGTCCAAATCTGCTCCAACCTTTCAGATTGAACAATAACTCAAATATAACACCAGAAAAAATATTTAATAAGCAGGAAGAAAGAGATTTGCTTTTGCAAGCAAGGCCGACCTGGTGTGTGTAAGGCCGACCCAGGGGCCAATAATGGACTGTGTAACCTTCCAAATTATTTCATATTTGATTTCTAAACAAGCCGCAGGGGTATTGGATATCACATGCTAATGCACGGCAGTCACATGTGCACTTTTGGAAATTGGTTGGACACTCTCCGCTTTTGATGTCCAAGTTGTTTTTTCTCGTCTGGAGTGGAGCTGCTCTTAAGAAAGCCATAATCCTCACGCTATTGCTGTGGCAAGCACTCCTCTGCCACAACATTTCACAGCGGCGTGCGTGACTCCACTAATTTTCTCCCTTGTTGTTTTACCTGTTTTGTATTTTTGCTTCCCCCGCTTGACCCCCTTTCTTTCTGAATTCTCCAGAGAAATGATTGAAGTCAGGGCCAAAGGTGGTTTCCCAGAGTGGAATGGCCCAGCAAAGCTCTCTTTTCTGTGAACTGATTACAGAAGATCTGCTGCATCTCACACTGCAGCTGGATTTAATAAACTGTTATATTCGGTTGGTGTGGCTTAATAATAGTATTGCTGATTATTATGTTTTGCTTCTAAAGGCTGATATTTTACTGTGGTCAATTACCTAATGGTCCGTTATCTGAGGTCTTTATTAATTATTTTTATTTAAAAGGTTAAGGGATCACCAAATTGTAGGTAGACGGTGGTAAGTTTACAATTGTAAAAATACAGTGGTATTTTTAGTCATTTTTTGAGCAAAAGACCTTCCACAGAAATAGACAAAAGTAAGTTTCTTCTTTTTAGCTGGGGATGTCTATTCTGGCAGCTGAACAAATGCGATGATGTCCATTACTGCTTGCACACACGCACATTGCCCTGAGCACCCCCTTGGCAGGATGCTTAGCAAGTATGATCCACAATACCAGAATTGATCAGCATTGTTTTGTGTCTGATGGTGATAATGGCATGTCCCAGGCCTTACCGCTGTACAGGTGTTAAATAATCAAGATGCAGGGTGGAAATAAGTGATCTTTACAGGTGTTGTTAGATTACATATTTGACCTTTGGAAAAACCAGGTTAGCTGTGTTCCCTTGCTTCATGTCTGTGTTATCTTGAGGTACAAAAGTATTTCCCTATATCAGCTTCTCTAAACTGACTTCTCTCTCTTCCCATCTGTTGTCCCACTTTCTTAAACTCTTATCCCTCCTGTCTTCTTCCTCTCCATGTTAGAATTACAATATAATACACATCCCTCCAGCTCTCTCTAAATCTTTTATTAAATCTTTTTTTAGTGTATCCTTCAGAATTGTAGTTCGGATCAGGTCAAGGTATCTTGAACTAAATATTCTGTAATCTCGACACATGTGGGTGTACCATAACTTTATTTAATATTTATATACATTTGATTTTTATATAATAAAACTGATAGGTCTAGAGTTGCCATGAGCTCACAATATGTGTTTACTTGACTGACTTTTGTGGGTGTCTTTCTCCTTCTTTAGAACTCTCCAATGTTGAACCCAACGTTTTTCTAAGGCCCTTCCTAGAAGTGGTCCGCTCTGAAGACACCACTGGACCAATCACAGGCCTCGCTCTTACCTCTGTCAACAAGTTCCTTTCCTATGGTCTTATAGGTAAGAAATCTTGACATTGTCAATGTGTTTTTGTACAGTTTCATCATAAAAATATAACAAACATCTAATTCATGTTGTCAAAAGCACATGGCCCTGCAGCATTTTCATAGGCATTGTTTGCAGTTTAAGTTTTGACTATCATCTTCATGCATGTACTAACAGTACCAGTCAAAAGCTCGATAACAATAGCTGAAAGCATTAAGTGGTGAAAACCAGCATGGTTCCACCAGAAAATGGCACATGAACATGATAGGTAGACATAAGTAGAGCACATACCGCAGCATCGCTTCAGGACTCTGGACCGCTACCGATGTGTGAAATGATATCATGTGTCTTACGGAGGTAGCCAGAGTAGTACTGTTTTTTGCAAGCCTTTTCACTGGCAATAGCCTAGTCAGCAAGGCTACTGTCATCCTCACCTTAAACATCACAACGCTTCCTATCATCTTAGCACTCTCGAAAGTTCTGTCTTTTCTGTTGAGAAGCTACGTTTTGTGTCCAGTTCTCATCATCAGGTCAGTTCAGGAATGCCAGGAATGGTCTGTTCTCGTCATTGATGCAGAAGAAGGCAGTCTGGACTGCCTGTTCTCATTAGCCTCATCATTGAAATATGGCTCAGTGTCTGCAAGTTATTTTGTTAAGTGTAAAATGATCATGCATCACCACAGGAACACAGCACAGTGTTTAAAAAAGCCACTGACCTTTAAACAACCATAGGCTTTACAATTTCATGTTGGAATTGAAATTTCTTTAAAACAAAATGTCATGATGTGTAAGTGAAACAATCTCTGGAACAAAGATTCAGGATTTTTGGATGTTCATTCAAACTGATGACCAGCAGTAGTCAATGCTTTCCACACTGATACTGTGGTTCCCAAGAGTACAAGTAAAAGACACATAATCTCTGTTCGAAGATCATGTCAGAGCCTCTGTCTGTCACTCCCACCCTGACACCAGCACCCTTAATCCCTGCCACCATTATCCCGACACCATCTCACCACCACCAGAATCTCATCAGCACTGTTCTAAGGGGGGCACACCATGGTCGCTCTCAGTGCAACGGCTCTCACTCTCCACTTTCTTTAAAGATAGGGTAGTTTGATAACATTATTGACCCTGCTGCATCTCAGTTTGACTTTTGTTCCAACAACACAAAGTCTCCAGCAGCCCTCCCATGCCTCTTGTTTTACTAGCCATGCATTCACTTTTTTCTTGTAGTGGGGTTGGGCTGGGACTATGAGCATTGCAATCTTGAATCTTCAAAGAGTATCGAAACTTGATCTGAAGAATGTGTCAGAAACTCCCAGATGAGACCAAAGACATTTTTTCAGGGAAGTGTGTAAAATTTAGATTTTCTAGGTGAGTTGTAGTGTACCTAGCAGTCATTTTAAGTCATCTGTATAGCTGCAAAGTATAGCACAGCTTTCCAATGAGGCTTTAAAAAACATTTCTTCTTAAATAGTTCCTTGTTTTGTCCTGTGGACAGTTTTGGTTCGAAAGGACCACAGTCATTTTGCATTTTGTTCTTGCAGAACAAAACAAGTTTATGTGTTTTAAAAATACATCGAGAGGTGAGCGCTGCATTGTCCTGTTTGTCACTCATAGTTGCCACATTGTATCTGGGTATTTTCCTTGTTTGACAGCTGTAAGTCACGGTAAAAAATATGTGTATATGTTTTATTTCCTAAATCAAGATGAGATAGGTAGGTATGTTATTTTTAATTGCATGAATTACCCGTAATTGTAGTTCAATGCAAATCATGCAGTAATACATTATATTAGTAATAATACATTATATTAGTTAAAATAACATTGATTACAAACATGTTGACAATAGAACCATATATCTTGACTCTTCAAGGGAATGTGTGAAGGCTGCGGTGACTATTCATCAGTGCCTGCCAAATAGTTTTTTTTAAGCTAAAATCAGACCTGAACTTAGTTTATAGCAAACTGTCATTGTCTTCATGCGAGCTGAGTAGATATGATTGGTAAATGGCCATAAAATACAACAATACTGGTCTTGTCAAGTACTGCCATCTCCTGGCTAGGAAAAAATACAAAAATCTGAGTCTTGTTTGAACATTTTTCATGGCTATGGCTAGATTCTTCAATACTGTAACTTAACTCATCTTCAGATCTATTAATTTTATCGACCTGCAGGAAGACATGCTGTCTGATGGGCATCTGTAAGTGGACATGATGTTGCTACTGCACTGTGATATTTGCTGTTTCATGTTCCACTTTGAGTTGCAAGCTTTCAGCAAAGATTGGAGTGTGTTGACGTTTAGGGTCAGTTTAGGTTTGCTCATCATCCCTCTCTTAATCTGCAATGAGAAAACCACCGCCTTGTGTTCTTTATCCTGGGTATTGTGATGAACGTGATCCTCCCCTTCAGTGTCACCCTGAACATTGTCCTGCCAAAGTGTCCCCACACTAGGGCCCAAGGGAAAGGAAATCGTCTCCCACACACACCCACTCATTTCACTCACACATTTCATTTAGTGTGAGGCAATTCCTCTCAATCTGTGGCCTGAGGTCTACTGGCATGGAGTGAGAAGTAAACTAAGCTTCGGTGCTGACAGATATCCAGATCTTTGCTCTATCCTCTCTTTTCCCACTGCTCATCTCTCCTCCTCTGTTCTTCCTTCGTTCTCCCTGTTTCTCCTGCCCAGTAGTCAGCAAAGCCCCTCACTGTTCTGCTAGCAGCTGCATGGTCACTAGCCCACATAGGGCTCAGAGCAAGGCTCAGCTGAGGCTTAAGCTGCAGCCACTGCCAGAAGAGATGATCTTAGAGTACAGCTGTAGCCTGCCTTTGATTTTTGTTGAATAAATTGTTAATCTTGAATAAAATAAAAAAGAAGTATATAATTACCATGAGCAGCAACACTGTAGTTTAAGAAAGAAAAGAGCAGTACTCCATAGACAAAAATCCCCATCACCCTTACAGGGCTCAACAAAAAGTGAAATGCCACATCGGGCAAGTAAATCTAGCCACTAGATTTCCACAAGTGGAAAAAAATAATTAACCATTGTTTCGGTGTAATTTAATATGATGCTGCAGCTTCTCCCCTGTTGTCTATGTCAGAGCTGAGCTCCTCCACATATTTGTCTTTTTCTGACCCTTTGCTGAAAAAAACGTTAAAACAGGTTTGAAAGCAGTTTATGCACCTAACAGTAATAAAACACTTGTGAGAAGGAACATGTAAACTATATATATATTATGTATATGTGTGTGTATGTGTATATATAT